AGACTTACCCACCAAAACGACTCAGATCGATTCTAAATTAGTCAAGGTAAAACCTTAGAACAGGAATGTAACAAAAAACAATGTTATAATGTTTAATTATAATGAAGATAAAATAAAAAAAATTTGACATAAAAAACTGTTATATAATTTAGATAATGAAAAAAATATTAAAAATTTAGTATTAAAATTAAAATATTTTAAAATTGGATGATTAAAAACTCTAGTAACTAAAAATTTAGTTGGAACAATCTTACCAGGATCAAAGGCTTGATATTTTGGTGAGTGAAGTGGGACTCGGACTCTTGACACTGATCAAGAAGAACATCCAACAAATCACCACTTCTGGTAATGGGATCTGAAGCTCTAACCTCCATTCTTTTATCGTTCATCTCATCAAAGATCTCATGCAATCCCATATAAGACCACCTTATACGCTTCCTTATTCCTTGCAAATCGAACCTTTTCAACATCGGAAAATAATCCGACAAGTTGGGTTTCGATGAATCCTCCATTATCCGCCACACCAAATCCTTAAACTCTTGCGCCGTACTGAACTCCGGGTCCACGATATCCCTTGAGAATATCGTACTGGATATCGAGTTCAATGCCGTGGCGAAAGCGACTTCCCCTATACTGACTTGGGAGCCGGAAAGACGTTGTTTGTCCAAGTGGTGGATGAGTTGCTGCACTTTTTGGTGGCGGACGTGTTGGAGTGAGTTGAGTCTTTGCACGGTGAACAGCTGGATGTTGCATAGTCTTCGGCGGTAGCGCCACCTGCCGTCGCCGACTGCCCATGCGAGGGTCGACTCGGGGTTGGGCTGGGAGGCGACGACGTAGGGAACAGTGCGATCGGAGAAGGTCTACTCTTGTGTTTGGAGGATTTGTTTGGCGATTTCAGCGGAGGAGGCGATGACGGTGGTGATGTAACCTAGGCAGAGAGTCATAAGGGGGCCATAGGTTTTGGCTAGCTCGAAGAGGGATTGGTTTGGGTGAGAGCCTAAGCGGTGGAGGGAGCTGTAAAGATATCAACAGATATCTAAACTATGAAAACAAGAAGAGAAACAAAAACTAAAGAGAGAAAACTTCTAAACTTCATTATCTTCACGTGAATGTATACAAGTCTCAAGGTGAATATTTATAGCTATGGATTACAGCTGTAACTAATCCTGTAACTGACTTTAACAAACTAACTTCTCCAACTGCTTGACTATAACGTATACCAGCAGTTGCATGCATAACCATGCACAGCATACAACTAACACTGACAGGAGCCTAATACGGGGAAGTTGAAAGGGCCCGGAGGGAGGCGTTAGGCGGCGGAGGAGCGACGGAGAAAGAGGAACACGGTGATGCAAAATCATAAGTAGATGTAGAGATCCATCTTTGTTTTAGTTTGTTGCTCTGTTAATGTGTACATAAACTAGTTCAAGGCTTAAGTAGCGGTGTTGAGAAAAATGACGAAAGCGGATGCTTTCGGGTCAGATTTGAAGATAACAGGTGTCACACAGTGTGAGATCCGTGGATATCAATAAAATAATTGATACACTAAGTGTTTAGTCACTTAATTATTTCTACGGCTCAATTATTATTTTTTAAAATTTTGTCTAATATTATATTTTGATAAACTAGGGAATGATCACGTGCGACAGTTTTAATATACGGCTAAAAGAGAAGTTATCGGTTTTGTTATTGTTTAAATAACAAAATCGGTAAAAATGATCGGAAATATTATTAGACGCTAAAAACTGACTGGTTTTGTTATTATTAGATGTTTTAACCGGATTTTCGAAAAAATGAACGGGAACATTATTAGGCGCTAAAAAATGATCGAAAACATTATTAGACGCTAAAAATGACCGAAAATATTAAAAAATGATGTTTTAGGTAAAAATAATAATATTGCCGATAATTTTTTACCGGTTTTATTATTTAAACAATAACAAAACCGGTAGCGCCTTATTTTAGCCTTATATTAAGGTATCGCACTGTAGAACTGCCCTGGTAAACCATTAATAAAAAATTAATGATAATGTTAATGTGTTACCATAATATATTATTATGTTATTGTTGAAAAATAAAAATGTCACATTAATAATTTATTTTTATGGTAGATGATAAAAATATAACATTATATATGATTTTAAAAAATAATTTAATAATCAAAATAAAATAAAGAAAACAATTAGGTGATGAGAACGGAATGAATATGTGAAGATTATACTACGAATAGATATGGGTTTAGAGTTTCTGATTGAAAAATATATCTTATTTGATTTGATTCTGCAGAGTATTAATGAAATAGGTGAAATTGTTGAGCAATAGTTGAATTTCTTTTATGGTCTTGGATGTTTTTTTTAATAGAAATCCGTTAGTTTTATTAAAAGTAAAAAAATATCTAGAATTACAATGAAGATTTACGAGTATAACCGTAAGCGTAAACTAAATTATAATTAGGACATTTTCCTATAATCATTAACACAAAAATTAGCACCTAGATCACACAATGACCAGAAAAGTAAAATGTTAAAAAACATAATCAATGCTCAAATAAAATAAAGATACGAACAAATCTAACTGTATCGGCAAACAAACACAAAAGGGGATGAAACTACTGAAAGACCACCGACATATCGCAAATCAGAGTCAACCGACGTGAGAAAACTATCCACGAGTGCAAAACGCGTATCAAATCAATTCGAATGTCCAAAGCAAGGAAGATCGGCAAGATAACAAATAAGCGCCATCTTGATCAGTTGTGGCGATGTCAAATTCAACCATGTGAAAAAAGATAAACAAAAAAAAGTAAAAAACCGTAAGCTATCAAAAGACAAGAAAAAATGTGTCACAAAGGCAGAGAACATGACACAAAGACATAATTATTCTTAAAAAAAAAACTAAAAAATAAAGAAAAAAGATAATCGGCGGACGACAACCAACATCAAAACCGGTGCCGCTAAGGTTTTTTATGGTCTTATGTTTCATGAGACATTACCCTAAATAATATATACAAATTTGAGGGGAAGAAGTGGAAGTTAATTCATGGAGTAATACCCTTTTTTAAATATAATTATATAATATTTTTAGAAATAATACTCAACTAGGTAGATAAGAGAAAAAAAACAGTGTGTTATATGGAGGCGCTTCTAGTTGGAAGGCACCTGCCATCAATCTAAAACACTCGTCTTGGAGCTAATAAGAAACATGGTACGACAACTCATCGATGCAACCAGGGAAGGCAGTTCCTGATGGTATCAACGACATGGATCCAGGTCTCCTCAAAATGATCAGCAAGGGCTTCCTTCAGCAAAGGGATTGCTTTGGATGATGTGCGGCACATGAAGGAATGGGAAATGCTCGATAACACATTGGCTAACAACGGTCGTGGTAGTTGTGTGCCCTCACGACACGAAACTCTGATGTAGATTCGACATCATGCTCCGAATTGAAGATAAGGTCTCTGGATGACGAGCCGTTATCTCTCTGGATGAATCGTGAACTCTTTTCTGTAAGAAGTGTTTCCGAAGTCCTGTTGAATTTGAGAAGTGTGAGTATGAGGGATTGCCACTTGAAATTGCGCCATTAATGATGTTTGGCTATGATAAAGGTGTACGGTTGCGGAACGGGAGATGGCTTATGGTGGCCTCGGTGCTGAAATGGAGGACAATAGCAGAGTAGCAGACTCATCAATTGAGAACATGAGGCTGATTCGATTGCGGATTGCAGAAGGTAAGCCTCAAGAAGGGACTACCTTAATGAACTCCTGAATAGAAGCATGATACAAATAACCGGGACACAGCAAATGATAGAAGGATCAAAACATGCCGCATTCACCATATTCTGCAAGAAATCATCATTCCAAATGCTAGGGGATCAGAATTCAGAACTTTGTTGCAGTTGCTAAAGAGCAAAATGTGACATGGTCTGATAAAGTCTTCGCCTGGCAATACATGACACCGGTAAATTCACAATAAAATATGAAAGCTTCTCATCTGTGGTTCTTGTTCGTGCTCGACTCAGGCGATCCAATATCTTGTTCACCTACAGATACATTGAATCCTAGCAGTAGCAGGCTGCTTAAGGGGTTGGATTTGCAAGCTGCGCCTATACTGACATTTCCACAGGAAATTTGAAAATTGAGACTCTTAAGGAAACTTAGCTTGAGAGAGACCAACATCAAGACAATTGCACTTCAATCTCTTCAACACTTGCCCAATTTCTACATCTTGAACTGATGCAAGCCATGGAAGGAGACACACTACGTTTTAAGGCTGGTGGGTTTAAGGGGCATAAACAACTATGTATAGACAAATTTGAAGGACTAAAATTCACAGAAGTGGAAGATGGAGCAACTCCTTGTCTAGAAAAGCCAAGTGCCTGAGCATCCAACGCCGTAAATTGCTAGAAAGAGTGGCATTAGGGATTAAATTTCTTACCAAGTTAAAAGCTCTTGAATTTTCCAATAAGCCTGATGATTCGATAATGACCCTCACTGGAGATCTATTCCATAGAGTTCAAGTGAGACAGACGGGCAGTTCCCTTAATACTAATACGCTTCAAAGTCGATTTTAAGTGAAACTGAATGTTAATTGAATTTGTTGGTTATAAACTTATATGCATTTTTCTGCCTTTGCCAATTGCCAGACATATTGTTCATATCAATAAAGTGTATCTGTTCATTTATTTATTTATTTATTTATTTATTTCATGTTCTGGTTAAAGCATGTATGATGCAATGATACCGTTTCCAATATGAGAAAAGGACGACGACCACAGTGGTGTAGATATAAGCGGCTTGTGTAGAGCTAGGAATCAGCCAAATGTTACAAAATTGATTTGGCTTTAACCACATCAAAATACATAGGATATCCAAAATTTTCTGGATAAGATCATATTAGATCTGACTCCTCACTTGCTACCTTGCACTAAAACCTCATTTTTTCTCCAAGAAAAAAAGAAGTAATCGGGAAGGAGCGATGACTTAAAAAATTTAATGACACAGCAAGTTACTCTCCAAGATAAGTAGAAACCCTTCTCTTGAACATTCGTCCCAAATCAACAATTTCAGATTCTCTCATCTGCTTAGTTATGCTGCCGGACAGCCTTTGCTTTGGTTCTTTTTTGGACAACCTGTTTTCAACGTCGATGGTTAAACTGACCATATCCCTGTTGTTGGTTAACAATCGCAAAACAGTGGCGGACTGTACAGGGTTTGACACGAGTCTATTGAGTAATATCAGCACTTCCCGTATCAATAATGTCCTGCGGAGAAGGGTTCTATAACGTGAACATACATTGTTTAATAAAGCATCAAAGTAGAACATCCAAGATTGTCAGTGTTGTTTATGGTATAACTGAAATGATTGCAAACATTGAAGGCAAAAAGCTGTATGTAGAGAGGGCATTGAATACGGAAAATATATGCTAGCCCAGGCATCAGAGAACAACGAAATAAACAGGTATTCACACATCCAGAGCCATCACTTACCTTGCTTTAAAGGTTTCATCAGAATCGGTATTTACTGTAGCCTCCAAGTCTAACTCAGATGCCAATAGTTGCATAATTAGTGTGCGTAGACACCCGTTTTTGTTCGGGTCTATAAAAATATTTTATTTTATTATATTATATTTATTTATTATTATTATTATTAATATTTTTTTATTTTATTATTTTTGCAGGCCCCACACTCAACAACCCTGATTTAGTGAGATTCAGAAAATAAATCAACGTATTTGAGTCCTATTGAAACACTAAAACCAACGTATTTGAGTCCTATTGAAACACTAAAACCGAAGCATTTGATTCCAAGTAGGACCCTAAATCTGAGCTAAAAATAGATTTCTTTAGACTATAAATAGACTCAAGCATCAAGAGGAAATGAGAGAGAAAAACGTGGGACCACATTTCAGAGTCCGAAACACAAAGCACCCAGTGTGCTGCTGCTTCACATGATCCCAAGACATTTAAATCCAAGTCCGGTGTTACACCAGTGGTGCAAAAGCAAGCAAGAAGAAGCGCTAAGGATTTGTAGCTGAGCTGAATATACGAACTTTAATTTCCATTTGCAGTTCGAAAGGTTTTTTTAATTGATATTATTGTTTTGGAACGAGTTTGTTTACGGAATTTTATAATTAGATGGATATTAAATGCCTTTGAACAATGAGTTGGATAACCCATGATATGCAATGAACGAATTGTTATTTTTTTTTCTGCTTTATAAAATACCAACGCTGATTGTTTTGAAATTGATGAGTTCTATATTTGTTATGTTTATTTCACATGTTGGTGTTTCTCATGTTCATTTGTCATAATAAATATGAATTAGGAAATGATAATATATTATTTATTATTATTTATTTATTTTATTATTATTATTTATTATTTATTATTCATTTTTCCCTTTTTGTTTAGCATTCAATATTTTATTTGTCATCTACCATTTTGTTTATTTTTTCTTCGGTAGTAATTTCAACTGAAGGTAAATAATTTGAATCGGGTTTTTAAATTTCAATTTCAATTTTTGCAATTAAAGACAATCGGAAAATTAATTGGTACCGAAAAGGAGGTTCAAGGGTGCTAATCATTCCTTGACCGTAACCGACTCCCGAACCCGACACGTTTCTGGTACAACGCAGATCAGGTAAGATGGTGTCCGACTCACCTAAATTTGTTTTAAAGTGGTCGGTGGCGACTCTAACCCAATTCATTCACGTCGAAGTCCAATTCCAGGGTTCAACCGAAAGACGGTTGCGACAGTGTGAAAAAATTTGCTTCTCCAGACAGCTTGTTATTCACTAGTATTTCGAAACTATATTTTCCAGACGAGGCCACAAAAGCAAGTACAGTGATGGCATTTTTGCGTAGCTCCAAGGCCTAAAAAGTTATTTGCTTCAAAAATCATATTCCACAACTAGTATCAGCTGAAAAATAAGCAATAGTCTTCTAGGAAAATCTTAAATAATATAATTTCAATTCATAACTTTTCGCAGTACCAACAATACATTATCTAATAAAATAAATCAGGAATGAAGTTTTATTTAATGTAACCTACTTGTAAACTGTTTGTTGAGTTAATCGATCGACGGAATTGGCCAAGAGGGGAGTGAATTGGCAATAAAAATTTTGGTGGAAGCTTTTGCAGAAAATTGAAAAGATTTGCACAGCGATTTAGAGTAGTTCGACTTTCTCAATCAAAGTCTACGTCCACTACCTTAGCTATCCACACTAAGGATTTTTCACAAATTCACTAATTTGTCTTTCTTTTGAGGACAAAGAGTAACCTTACAAACCCTCAAGAATTATACCCCAAATTCTTGAGAAAACTCTCTCCCAAAGAGAACAATACAAATTTGCAAACTTACAAGGAAATCCTCACAAGGTAGATTGTTTGCACAATTCTATAACAAAGGAAAGAACACTCTAAGATGAATAAAATTGAGCGCAATAAGTGTTCTTGAAAGCAAAATGAATATTGAATGAAAATAGGCTTGAAATGCTCAAACTTGAGGTTTGATGCTTTCTCTTTGATTCTCTCTTGATTTTAGTTGCTTGATGTTTCTTGTTTTTGATCAATGGCTTCTAAGCTTGCTTAAATACACCTTGAATCACTTCTGAACGTTGGGGATGATTAGTGAAGATAATATAGCCGTTTAAGTGTGAAAACATTTAATAACAATGCTTGGAGCGTGGGGGGAATCGGTACCCCCTCATAGGGAATCGGTTCCCTAAGTATAAAATTCAAATATTTCGACCGTTGAATAGGGGGGAATCGGTACCCCCTATGGGAGAATTGGTTCCCTCCGAGCATTCTGGAAATCTTGGAGCCAAACCATTCAGGGGGGAATCGGTTCCCTCTGAGCAATCTGGAATTTTTGGCTTTGAAATGGTTCGAAATACTTTGAAAGATTATTTTGAAATTGTTTTAAGATTAAAACTTAATTTTACATTTAAGTAAGGATTAAAAATGATTTTTGAAAGATTTAGAGTAATGTTTTGATATTCGAATAATTATATCGAATATACTTATAAAATCATTTGGAAAATCTTAAAATTCATTTAACTTAATTTGTTATATCGAAATATCAAAATGTTTTCAACAATCTCCCCCTTTTTGATATAACAAAACATTTTAGTAATTTTAAGATTTTGAAATCAAGTTTTGAAATTACTCCCCCTTACTTTAACACTTCTCCCATTTATCATTTTAAAACACACTTAAAACACATTCAAAACACACACTTAAAACACACACTTAAAACACACTCAAAACACACACTTTTCTCCCCCTTTTTGTTAAATAAAAAAGATTCAAAGAAACGTGAAAAACATTTAGCCAATTGATTAGGTATATATATGCATAAGCTGCTAAGATCACAATCAAGAGAAACGTTAGCCATTAGTTTCAAAATCAATATTCATAAACAATGTGATATGGCAAGATTGGTCATATTGCTAATAATGATGTAAATGATGCAATAACGAATAAAACACACCAAACATATAAGTTCACACCATCCATAAATCCAAACAAATTCACAATCCACAAATTCAAACATTCAAAATGTTAAAACAATAAGTTTGGAGTTCAAAGCAAAATATAGAATCAAACATCCGTAGGAGGATCGGGAGGAGGAAAACGAGCTCGTATAGCGGCCATCTCGTGAGTGAGTTCATTAATACGAGCATTGGTTGCTTCATTGTTTGCACGCATCTCTCGAAGAATCTCTAATTGTTGAGCTCCCATTGTGGATAAATGAGACTCTATAGAGGTAAAGCGCGAATCCATGGTCGCATATCGGAAATCAAATGTCTCCATAAAGGATTGAAAATATGGAGGCATTTGAGTCGATTGTTGTGTGTGCTCCTCGGGTTGCTCATGCTCATCTTCGGCTTCATCGATATCCCTCATTAATTGTTCAAACCCTGGATCTTCGTCAGCTTCGAGTGGAGCTTGTGAAGAACTAGCTCCCGGAGTAGTTGCAGAAGATCGAACCCATTCACCGGTTTCTTTATCTTTGACCCATCCCACTCTTGTTAAAGAAAGAAGATTGATTTGTTTCTTAAGAGGAAATGAGGCATCTAGACCAACTTGGAGTTCGGCTTTAGAAAAGAGATTACTAAGGATACAACCGTAAACTAGTGAAGAACAGAGTTTCTTATTTGGCACTAGGTTAACGGTTTCAACAATCTCAGCAAAGATAATCTTGGAAATGTTTATTTTTATATTGTGTTCAAAACAATGCAACCACCAAAGATATAAAGCTCTAAGAGTTGAATATCGACCCCCGGATGGTCGAAACCACCAAGTGATCATAAGATGAAGAAAACGCTCATGAAGATCTAGAACACTTGCACTATCATTTCGTTTATATCGAGAGCCTAAAACTTGTTTTTCGTTTGATAAACCTTCATTATCCAAGCCTAAGGCATTGGCTATGTAAGCCGGATCAAGATGAAAATATTGACCTAGGAGGTAGGAACGTACTCCTATGGTTTTGATTTTGTCACGATTTTTGATACAAACGACATTACTATAGAAAATACGAACAAGTTGATGATAGACAACGGGTTCAAGTTCGAAAAGTTTATCAAATTTCCATTCATGCAAGATAGGGAGATATTTAAAGTTAATATCAACCATAGCTTGAAGAGATGGGATACGTTCTTCCCTAATCTTATACGAGTCAAAATATTGGTAAAACCAAAAACGATAATCTTTAGGACCCGGTTGATTGAAACAAGAATTTTGGATAGTCAAGTTGGGATCACGATTTGGAATAGGATTTTGAGGGATAGGAGGAGGATTTGGTTGACGACTAGATGAAGACCTAGCACGTTTAGGATTGGACATGGTGAAGGAAATCGGAATAGATTGAGTAACCTGCAATTTTAAAAACAAATGTATGCAATTCAATTAATCCCAAAACTCAATTGAGTCCTCAATATTTCAAGGTTCTCTAAATCAATCCTAATGGGCAAAGTTTTTGAGAAACTTTTGACAAATACGGTTTTGAGAAACAATATATGTATAGTTTTCATAACAACAACATAATTTAATCAAAACACAATAATTTGAAAAACAATTTTTTTTTATTAATTTCGAAAATTTAAAAATTTTGGAAAATTCTTGTGTTTTTGATGAAATTAGTTGTAACATCTAGTTTCTAATCACTAAACAATCAATGTCCGATCACTATTTCAACCTAGAACTAATTAAAACCAATCCTATGTTCAAAAACAATGAAATAGAGAGTTTAGAAAAATTTACCTTGAAAGATGAAGATTGAGGGGATTTAGATGTTGTTTGCACGATTTTAATGACTTAAACAGGTTTAGAAGATGATATTTGAAGCAAATTCCGATTGATATCGTTGATTTGAGGGAAGAAAGGAGATAGGGAGAGAGTTTGGTCGGCAAGGAAGAAAATAGAGGGTTTTTGCGTGTTTTGAATGGTTCTGCCCGATTTTAACAGAACCCCAGGGGGTATCGATTCCCCTGTGGGGGGAATCGGTTCCCCTTCAAAGGGGGAATCGGTTCCCTCATGGGGGAATCGATTCCCTCTGCACAAAAATGCTAAAATCCGATTTTAAACATCCAAAATGCTAAATTAATTTTCTCTAGTGGTATTGGCAACTCATATATTGAAAATTAATCATGTTCAAACAATTAATTTCATCTTTAAACGTTATTTGAACATAAAATTAATTTTCATTAAGAATCATAAACTCCCCCTAACTAATAGCAAGAATGCAATCAAAAAATATTATAATAAGCATTTTTCAGTATTTATTAAAAGTGCTAAATAATTTTAAACACTAAGTGAAGATAGGTTGGTCAAACCTAATTCTCTCCTAAGTGTCCAAAATCTTTCCTTGTCTAAGGGTTTTGTAAAGATATCCGCTAATTGGTGCAAAGTATCAACAAATTCTAGAACTACATCTTCCTTAGTGACATGGTCTCTAATGAAGTGATGTCTTATTTCAATGTGCTTAGTTCTAGAGTGTTGGATGGGATTTTTAGTGAGACAAATAGCACTAGTATTGTCACACTTGATAGGAATAGTACCTACTTCAATTCCATAATCAAAAAGTTGTTGTTTCATCCATAAAACTTGTGCACAACAACTACCAGCTGAAATGTATTCAGCTTCAATGGTAGATAATGCAACACAATTTTGTTTCTTTGAAAACCAAGAAATCAGCATATTTCCAAGGAATTGGCAAGTACCGGAGGTGCTTTTCCTATCTAATTTGCATCCTCCATAATCCGCATCAGAAAAAGCATGCAAGCTAAAGCTAGAGTCTCTAGGATACCAAAGTCCTAAACTAGGAGTGTCCTTAAGGTATCTAAAGATTCTCTTAACAGCTAGTAAATGTGATTCCTTAGGACATGATTGAAATCTAGCACATAAGCAAACACTAAACATAATATCCGGTCTACTAGCAGTTAGATAAAGCAAAGAACCAATCATTGACCTATATAATTTAACATCTACACATTTACCTCCTTCATCTAAGTCAAGCTTTGTTGAAGAGCTCATTGGAGTGTCATGAGGTTTCCCATTTTCCAGTCCAAACTTCTTGAGCATATCTTTGACGTACTTAGCTTGATTAATGAAGATGCCATCTTTTCTTTGCTTGATTTGGAGTCCCAAGAAAAATGAGAGTTCCCCCATCATGCTCATCTCAAATTCACTTTGCATTAGCTTAGAAAATTCTTGGCAAAGAACATCATTAGTAGAACCAAATATTATATCATCAACATAAATTTGAACTACTAATAAATCTTTACCTTTATGCTTTAAAAACAATGTAGTGTCAACCTTCCCTTTTGAAAAACCTTTTTCAATTAAAACATTTGACAATCTTTCATAC